AGGGTTGCGATCCATTGCCGGTCATGAAAAAAGACAAAAAGGAAAAAAAAAAAAAAAAGAAGGATCATGCCTCATTCATTTTTTTGTCTATGATACCTAGTAGAGAACCTGGCACATAGTATCCACACACCTCAGCAAAGATTGGATGGAAAATGTTGAGAGAGGGAAGTGGTTGATTTTTCTTTTCTTTTTTTTTTTTTTTAAAGATGACCGGTAAGGGGATCTTAACCCTTGACTTGATGGTGTCAACACCACATTCTCCCAAGTGAGCTAACCGGCCATCCCTATGTAGGGATCCGAACCCATGGCCTTGGTGTTATCGGCACCACACTCTCCCAAGTGAGCGACAGGCCGGCCCTTGATTTTTCAATATGTATTTTTTTCTGTTTATAAAAGGAATATGAGAAAATAGAATTAAAATTGAATTAAATAGAATTAACAGATAAAAATAAAGATTAATATGATATATAATAAATATATAATATGATATAAATAAAAGATAAAATAGAATTAAAAGACAATATGAGTCTTTCCATGAACTTTTTGTTTTGTTTTGTTGGCTAGCTGGTACTGGGATCTGAACCCTTGACCTTGGTGTTATAACACTTGTGCTCTAAACAACTGAGTTAATCAGCCAGCCTCCATGAACTTTTTGAAGTACCCATGTATATCTTCATTTTAGAAATTATAGATCATGGGCTGACCGGTTAGCTCAGCTGGTTACAGTGTGGTGTCGTAACATGAGGGTCAAATGTTCGAATCCCTGTGCCAGCCAGCCACCAAAAAAAAAAAATTATAGATCATACATAAAAGTCCAAAGAAGAAAAGAAATCTCCCACAATCCCACCCTAGAGATCATTGCTTATCTTTTTAGTACCTTCTTATCCCTTGTCAACTGCAGGGGTTATTTTCCTGCAGGTTGGCCAAACTGCCTAAGGTTAATGAGATTAAGATCTCACAGAAAATAGGGAGCATGAGGAGAAAATAAAAGCTGGCATTAAATGAATGAGTGCTATGTGGGAATGAGTGCACGTCTACTTCCAAAACAAACCAAGCTCGTCTACATAAAAACCCCAGGCCTGGTATGTAGCCCTTACCTTGAGTCACCTTCAGTTGTCTGGGAATCAGAAAAGTTACTGTTTTCTCATCTGAGAGGAGTAAGTCTTTTGTATTTGCATTCTTTTTTCTTTAGTTTTTAGCAAAATGCCTGGCCTTTTCAAAAAGGTACTTATATATACTTTTTTTCTGAGTCTGTTTTTTGTTCCATACATTGTGAGGGTGAACATTAAACAGGTCAGCAGGAAGGGGAGCAATAAATATTGTATTTTTTTGTTTAAGGGACCAAAGTAAATATGTGTGTGTAAAAATAGCATGGGTTTTAAAATTTGGTTTATAAGATTAAATAATTAGTAAATCTGTAGCTGATGGATTACTCCAAGCCTTTTTTTCCTATGCTTTTTAATTAATTTTTTTATAACATTGGGATTGGGATTAAATAATGAAAACATTTTTTCATTATTTTTAATTTTTTTTAGAAATGAGTTTTGAGCTTAATTTCAATCTCCTATAACAAAGTCTCAAAGAAAATGAGTGATAATTACATATTTAACAAGTTATACAATATATATAAAGATTATATNCGCATTATTATGGTAAGTGTGAACTCAAGGTAAGTAAGGCACTCTTCAAAGGTTGGTGGGAAATGGGGCTTTTTACCATGGATCCATCTCCTGCTGCTTATTGGAGAGGGGTTTATGCTCATGTGTTTAGTGACCTTTGTACTGTGGTCATCATTTTATAGATATGAAGTCATGTAGCATTTATAAATTATAAGACTAAGAGAGCAGCCTCATCTTGCCCTTACTAGTTCTTTGTCTATGACAGTCATCATTGAGTCCATTCAAACTCTGCTGGCCTGAGCATTTTTTTCTTATTTTTGTATGCTTAGATACTCATTTCATGGTAATTCTTGTTCTGTTAGAAGTTTCTTTGTCAGTGCCATGGTATTTTTAAATAAAACCTTGGAACAAGTATGTATAACTATTCTTTCTTCCTAGGACCGAAAGTCAGACTACAGATGCAGAAAACAAAGCTAAAAAGCTTACATTGCCTCTTTTTGGTGCCATGAAAGGAGGAAGCAAATTCAAACTAAAAACTGGAACAGTAGGGGTAAGTTGTGAGTCAGGGTGTTAAACTTTTAATTCTTGAGTTATCCCTGAGCTAGTTTTTCTCTTTTCTTTTGAAAGTGCAAATGACTCATTCCATAGTAATGTGAAAAAGGACTGTGGGTTTGTGTATGATTACATTTTTTTCAGAACTTGGTTTTTGGATTTTTCTGTTCAGCTTAAGGTTATCAAGAATTAGTGAATTGATTCATGCATGTCAATTTGCAAGTAAATGATTTGTAAGTTAGAATACCAGTTTATTAATTTCTAATGAATGTTGCACTTAAGAATGTGTCTCCTGCATTAAATGCTTTTTCCCTGGTAGACAGATGTAATAATCAGACTCAACTAACATTTGTTAGTAACATCACACTGCCTCTGCTGTGTGATCTTCCTTACCTTGTGACATATGGGAATCACTAGCTCTTACAAATGAGGAAACAGTCAGGGAGGTTAAATGCCAGATTATAACATCATTATGTAGCTAAGCTGGCAATCAGATCCAGGTCTTCTATCTCTTGAGTTTTATCATCTTTCTATCTTATAATACCTCATAGATTTATGTTTTTGCTTCACGTACATTCCTATTCATAGATTCAGCTTTTAAAAGGTTTTCATCACCCCAAAGAGCTGACTCTTGTATATTAGTTTAGTAGGTCTGCCATAACAAAATACCAAAGATTGGGTGGCTTAAACAACAGAAATTTATTTTCTCACTGTTTTAGAGGTTGGAAATCCAAGATAAAGGTGCTGACAGGATTGGTTTCCTCTAAGGCATCTCTCTTTGGCTTGCAGATGGCTGCCCTCTTGTTGCCTTTTTACATGGTCAGTCCTGTGTGCA